AGCGCGAGGACAGCGTTTCGGGATCCCTTCGCACCGCGGCGGCGGCCTCCTTTGAAGGAAGTCGCGAATCCGCGACACTCCGGGCAACAAGAAGAAAAAAGAAGGGGTCCGAGGTAGTTTCCGATCTGCCATGTTACCTACGACCCTACGAGTCAAACATACAAACAAACCTACGAGTCAAAAATCCCTAGGTGGAACGCGGGACCTACACTTGTCGTGGTAACAGCCGGTTGTTCTCGGAGGTAGGCGTGAAGAGTCGTCGGGGGCTCTACTCTGGATACTGGCGGGCTTCGGCAGTTGCGTAGACGATAGTTGCGTTGAACGGAAGTTGAGGCGACGATTGACGGCGATCGGTTCGACACTTGCGGCATCGACAGCTTGAACGGACCATGGAACTCGGCGTTGACGTGGATGTTCGGCTTGACGTTGACGTTGACAGCGGCTCGACATGGATGACGTTGAAGTGGCGATGAAGACCAAAAAGTTTTAATTTTGCCTAGGGGCGCATTTTTTCGCGCCAGGGGAATAAATTTTTGTGAGGGGGAGATTTTCCTCACCAAGCACAAGAACCCAAGGGCCAAGTCAAAGTCGAAAAGAAGGGGAAATCCCAAAAGCCAAAAAATTAACACGGTCTCCCACCGTGACCCCAAAAGTCGTGAGTTGCGGCTATAGTCACATGTGTCAACGTATAATGGGGATCATTGCTGCCAATCCTGAATCGAGGTAACAACAACGACAAAGGGCGAGCTCAAGGCTCTTACCAAAAATAAAGAAAGTAAAAAAGAGATAAAAGAAGTAAAAGGGACCGTAAATTGAGGCTGTAAACTTTCAAATCTACCTGCGGGAGCTCGTTATGCTCCACTCTCCTTCCTCGAAGTTGCTAGCTCACTTCGAGAATGGGCCATGGCAATCCATGCTCGGAGTGAGGGGCGACGAAGCAATAAGTTGGAACTGGCTAGCCTGAACATAGCTTCGAACGTCCGTGACCACGAGAAAGAAGGAGGCTGCTGAAAGTAAACAGATATAGTACAAGTGTGATAACGTAAGGTGTGAATGGGTGTCTGTGGGCAGAACGAAGCTGCTGTGAAATGGCTTGTGGGGCATCTGTGCGATCATGTCGCTGCGGCGTCGTCACTGTTCCTATCGTCCCCGTAGTGACATCCTCACTGATGAAATTAGCGAGTCGATGGATACGAAGAGACTGGACTTGTTCACTATCCGCTTCCTGCGTACTCTGCAAAGTGCGGAGAAGTGCTTCAGCGTCGGCCAGATGTTGATCCACGCTATGCCCTTCCGCGAACTTGCTGTACGCCTGCTGATCCGTCGGCAAGTTGGAGATGGTAATGTGGTACAAAAGTACATCGCGACGTCCAGGCAAAGGCGAAAGTGCGGCTCTCAGACTTACTATGTGAAGCTGTGTGGCTGTCTGACGGTGCTGGAGCTGATGGAGTTGCTCAGAAGCTGGGGCGTCAGACACGTGGGGTAAGCAAATCGGAACTTACCTGTCTCCTAACCACTTCCAGGTCCTCGATGGCTTTGACGACCTTTGAAATGTAGGATTCTACGGCGGTCATATCGATCGATAGTGCGCAGACTCGGTAGCTTGCAGGAGATAGTAACTGCCAACCCAAAGTCTGGAATAGTACTCCATGAATGTGTTCGATGGGGGTGTGATTACTTCGCGACGTAGTCACACAAATGGTGAACATAATACACGAGCGAAATGAATGAAACGATGATCAACAAACAACGACTGAAACTCCCAGATGTTACTATGGGGAATGGGTGCCGATAATCGAGAGCAGTATCGATCGCAAGGAGCAGTTAACTAGCTAAGTCTAGCCACAAGTTGCAAAAAAAAAGGGCATGAATGCACAATGCGAGCATGAATGCGCAAAAGGTGGGTTTTAGGGCGAGGCTCTCATCAAACCCAACAAACAGGGCTCTTTCGTCGGCCTGATGGCGTGTTTCAAGGCAGACAGAGCAATCCGCGGTCCTCCATGTATGCAAAAAAACCTGGCCATCAGAAGGCACCAGACAGTCCCGGGCAGTAGGCAGGGCGTAGATTACTGCTGCCACGTCAGGTCTACGGGATCACCCTACTCCCAATCTAAGTGGAACTGTGGGTAGTCGCGTATTCGCGTCAGCCTAGTCGCTACGGAGCTTGCTGATGAAACGAAGGATGAGTCCTCTCATGGAGCACAAGGAGCAACAAGCATGTATACACTGTGCAATCATGCAGAGTAAAAAAAGGGGATGAGATTTGTACTGCTAGCGAGGGACACTTATGTGCAAAGCGTGTGCATGTGGGCTAACACAGGTGAGGCTCGATCACAAAAGCTGAACATAGGTTTACTATCCCTATGCTCAACTCCGGTACGATGCACCATGTCGCGGATTGGGCCCCCAGCTCCCACCGTCAGTGTATCTAGGCTCTCCTGCATCGGCGAGGGGAGCCAGGGGTCCCTTCCGTGAAAGGGTGAAACGACTATTGTGGTGGCATACCTGTGTGAACGCTACTAGTGCCTGCCACATGGGAACTCTATACACACGTAGGGGCCCTTGCCACCAGCCTGCTTAGTAAGTTACTCGGCACTTGCGACTCGACTACTCCCAACCATCGACAGTTGGGGCGTGTACATATAACCAAGGCACTACCCGGGGTCGTGCCAGCCTTCTTACGGATCTTTCACACCAGGCACGATTATAAAGTACACAATAACAATAATGACATGAGATATCCCCGGAGCCACAGCCGAGCTGTGGCTCACCGCATCAAACAAATCACACGTGTAAAATGCCCACCATTTATCCACAACTAATCCCTAAACTCAAACACAAGGGGGTGAGCACAACCAGCCAGATCTTAACCTAGGGGCCGACAATATCGGAAACCCCCCGTGGCGGTGTCGCCGGCGTATGCCAGGCGCGAGCGCGCACGGGGTTACCTCGTCTGCGGGGTTGCCTGTCCTCCGTGGCGTGTTGGATGTAGAAGACGCGTGAGTTGGGGACGGCGCTGCATCGATCGACACGTGGGATGACGAAACTGGGACCCAACCGCTCACCAGGTAACGAAATGGACGACTGATTTGAAAGCTGCGGCGGTAGCGATGGGAAGGCGGGAGCAGCGCGAGGACAGCGTTTCGGGATCCCTTCGCACCGCGGCGGCGGCCTCCTTTGAAGGAAGTCGCGAATCCGCGACAACGTGCTAGCTGGGCACGTGGCAGATAAGCAGCCTTGGCAAAATCAAAGTAGATTCCATCCGAATTTAAAGCACGCAGCTCACAACAGGTGGAAAAATAAGCGAGGATATTAGAAAAACTGTAGGAAACTGTGTTGAAACAGCAAACAAAAGATGTACAAGCGATGTCAGAACGGCATTAAAACTGCGCGCACCCTCCGCCGAGGAATTCCAATCATCTTCGCGCGAACCGGCGATTTTACACAGTATGAGTCAAAATTCCTCACATCATTCATGAATCAGTGAAGAAACAAAAGTGCAATAGGAATTTACAGTTAATTTGTTGCAAGACGTCGGCATTTTTGGCCAGATGAGAAACTAAGAACGATTGATTCGCCCGTTGACCTTGTTTGGTCAATTTTGCAAAAACCCATTTTTTGGTAAATCAGCAGTTGTTACGAAGAATTGTATGTCATTTGCAAATGGAACTACGAATTAATTGCACTTCAATTGATGTATGCTAGTTCAAAGTTCCAAACAATTTTCGATGTTTCCAACATACCAAATATTGGCTTCTTACCATGTACTTATCGTATGTCTGAGATATGACCCCTTCACAACAAATGAAGGAGATCATTGTAAGCAGCACAATGAAGGAACCTTTTACGGGTTCAAAATCACAAACAGATCCGTGCAGAAGAAGCTCCTCCTGTATGCATACCGTATCTCTGCATGCTGCCCAGCAAAATGTATTATTGTGATCAGCACATTGAAGTCATCCATCTGAGCAAAATTCAAACTGACCGGTGGCCTTACATTCAGAATCTGTCCACTCTGAACCGAGATGTGGCGATACGATACAAAATTTGGCGAACGCCGGGGCCGCAGTCGGACTTCGCCAAATTTCTTGTGATTTTTGAACATCATAGGAGGTATTGTAGGACATCAACTTCCGGTAGCAACAAGATCCCGAAGCCCTAATCTTGCCCAGACACTGTCTCTAAGCACTCTTTTATCGCAAGTGGTGAAGGGCATCACATGGGAAGATACTGCCCCGGCGATAGCCAACGACTCGTTTTTCGGGGACCTGCTAGAAGCGATATGGCCAACTCAGAGCAGTGGAGTGTGATAATTTCTTAGTTGTATCCATCATATGGTAATAAAAATGGTAATAAAAAAATTACCAGGTAAGCTTTGCGGATCTTCAGAAGGGCAATCACTAAAACTTCATTGATGACGTGATTATGATTTGACTTTGACGTTTGTGAGACCAGATGCTCAGCGAATTGCGCATTTCAAATTTTGATCATTCCAGAATTGAAAATTACAACCGCTCTCTATGAGCGCGTACCATAATCTTAAGTCTCAACAAAACGATAGATAATTTGGTTTTATACATGAAGACAACGAAATGTATATATGAATAAAGCAAAGCAACACAACGTAGAATACCTGGCATAGACAAGGAACTTAAAATAAAGGAAATGTCGTTTCTTCAACCACAAGAATACAATAAGGGGTTTACAGCTCGCAGTCGGATAGCCGAAGGTACTCTGTTTTTCTCTCCTCCAATGGTCGAATTCTTTGCAGATGACGTAATTAGCGAAGAAGTGCATTCTAAGCGGTGAAACATTCTGCTCCTAGGCAGTTATAACAAAAAATGAAAGTTTACCAGTAGCTGATTTAGGACCCATGCATGCTTCTGAGGCCTAGGCTTTTCCTTTGAAGGTGCGCTCAAAATTGAATGGACCAAGAATTCTTCCAAAATAAAGCGCACACATAGAAAATCGAATAAGGAGAAGGGCCAGGGACATGCCTTATCTTGGAGAGCTACGATAGCAAATAACCAGCAGCTATTAATTGCTACATGCAAAATGTTACCATAGAATGAGAGTACTATGTCATGTCATAAAGTGGGACAATATTGGAGGTATACAACGTGCAAAACGAAATGCAGTCCGATTAACTGGGAAATGAACAAGGTTTGAGCATTTCACAAGGTTTTCTTTGGGTATACAATGTCGATTGGATCGGATCGTTTGTAGATTCTTTTCTGTAGGATGAGGATATTTTAAAGCTGCAATACTACGAACAATCTTACCTCAGTCTTTACCTGGTAATCGTAAGACTTGCTCGGATTTGTCTCTACTCTAGTAAGCTCAACCAGATTTGTCTAGGTGATGCAAGGTAATAAGAGTCATTTGTAAGTGATCACTCCAGAAAAAGTGTCTACTTACCCTGCTATTTTGTGGTGTCGGAGGCACAGAACTAGAACCTTTCCAGGGTTTCAATGAAAAATCATGCACTGAAAGTATTTTGAAAACTAACAAACTGTAAAATCTTGACAAACTCACATTGGCGAGAGAGCTTGTCGAGTATGTTCGAAAACATCTCGGAATCGGTATTTTGATCTGAAAAAAAAAACCGTAAAAATTTTGGTTAAGGGCGGATGGAAAAATAACAATATTAAGCCTACATGCCCATCTACTCTAGCATAACTGAGCAGTTTGTGACCTCTTGAGCATTTGCGGTGTTATGTTTCCCCCTGGCTATTTTTTGGCACATTTATTGCGCAACGCAACAAAAATCAAATTGATTAGGTCGCTACACTGTCGATGAGGTTTTCCATATATTTAAGGACAATGGAAACATAAATGATGTGTTTGTAATGCGTATAACGACTTATTTCCAGGTTTTACATCGAGCATTTCGAGTTCAAAAGCTTTCTGGACGATGCACAAGAAAATGAACGAATTTTTGAGCTAAAAGTCGAGCAAAGCAAGCACTTTTGCAGATCCAAGCCCTGTTCTAGATTTGAATGTACGCTTGCTGAAGGCAACGTAATGAATAGCTTCTTATTGTTATTACCTCTGTTGATCATGCATGGAAGTATATAATTTTTCACTGCTATTCATTTTTTTCAGCTAGATTCACGTGAACATACTGTCTGACATTCTTCCTTTACATAGTGCAGTACAAATTTGTAATATTTCCTCCGTTTTTGCTTATGTGATTTCCATGTAATATAAGTCTTTTACATGCCCGGCTATCTGACGAAAACAGATGAAATCTGAGATGCTCTCCAAACTTTTTTGCGAGGCCCATAATCCTGTAATAGCGCGCAGAAAATAATTGTTTGCAGAGCCAACCAAAATTTCCAGTAGTTCTAGAAGATATGCTTGTTATTACGAGTATTAACAGGTCAGTTGCACAATTTTACGAACCCACAAGTGAGCATCGCGAAGTCGAAGTGGCCGATCATTACAAGATGCATAGCATCACAAAGAGCTTGAAGCGCTAATTTTAAACCTGCCTTCCATAATTTCAAAACCTTTGTGGGAAGGAGGTTATGGAACTTCTGATTGCTTAACATTTGCAAAGCTTAGAGTAGCCAGAATTATCAAAACTTAAGCATTTTGGACTCAAACCCACTTGATCCAATTTATCCATGCTTAATATGATGCTCACCCCTATGTTAATGTAGTGGAAGAAGCAGAGCGATTCAAGTCATTTGTGGTCACTCAAAACCATACAAATTTTGATGATAAAAACGCTCATAACTTCTTTTCCAGAAGCCTTTTGTAGGTATGGAAGGAGATTTGAAAATAGCGCTCCAGGCTCTTAGTAATGGTGAATAGTATTAGGTTGTCCCAAAAGTTTTGTCGTTTTATTTTTGAAAAATTATAACGCGCTATCCATACGGATTTACTCCATTACATTTTTACTATTAGGTCGTTCCGAAAGTAATGTCGCTTTTTTCAAATGTACGCCACATCTCGTGCAACAGAGATATGTAAGAGATTCTGGTAGCATTCGATGCAGCATTTCATTCTCTTTCTGATGGTTTTATAACCACCGCACACAATTCAATAGCCTCTCGAAAAATTTTCAAAATCTGCGACCCATGCTTTTTGAGAAGGCCAAGTTTCAGAATTTCTCTAAATTTTTATAACAACCCTCGAAAGAAGTCCAAGTAATGGATGGATTGAGCAAACCTTACAGGAAACAGTACAACTTTCTGCTACTTTTCAGAGCTCGTCGTAATTTTTGTATAGATTTTTTTGATGGAACCACCAAATTTTGGCAGACACGTCTCGGACACAAATGCATCAAACACCAATAAATCTTCGGATTTTGAAACTTAAAAAGATGGATTATGGTTTGACACTAATTTTACAAACCAAATGAGTATTCACCGCTTCACATTAGCAACTTTCGAAAATTCCGGGTACAGCCTGAGGCGCCCTGGAAAACCTGAATTAAGATGATTTTATCCCGGAAAACTTGATGAATCGGAAACAAAAAACAACTTATGGAAAGAGGAGAAAAAGCTGCGTCGAATGACACCTGAGCTGCTTGTCGATTGTTGTTCTGTGAGGTTTGACCTGACTAAATATGGAATTTGATGGCATTGAAAAATTGGTTCTAGAAAGTATAAGAAGCAAGCTAAGGAATAGAAAAAAATTGTCTGTATCCTATAGGGTTTGCTCTATCTACCTGCCGCTTGTACTTCTTCGGAGAATAGGTACAAAAATTTAGAAAAATAGCCGAACTTGACCATGGCAAAAAGCATGAGCCGCAGATTTTGGTCATTTTTCAAAAGCTTGAACATTATGCAGTGTAATTAAAACCGCTAGAAAGAGGATGAAGTGCTGCATCGAATGCTTCTAAGATCTCTGGAAAATCTTGATTCCATGAAATGTGGCGTTCATTTGAATAAAGCGACATTATTATCGGAACAACCTAATAGAAAGAGTAATTCTTTCGCTTTCGAATGCTGTTTAAATAGTTCTGCTAAACCCTGACTGCAGAGATAAAAATAGAAAAAGAAGACCATATGCACTTAGGCCATTTTAACTTTGGTCGCCAAAAATTGTAAAGCTGCAATCAAACCTGAAATCGTCAACTCATAAGCTGACCTACTCTTTGCAACTGTGAAAAGTTTGCCCTGTTTGGACATGTCTGAAAAAGATATGATTCTCGAGAAAAGTGACAAACCAATTGATTTTGGAGTTTTCTAGTAAACTGATAATTCGTAACTTCTCACAGGGACATTCAAACGGGACAAACTTTTCACAGTTGCAAAGAGTAGGTCCAAAAAACTTATGGGATGACGATTTCAGATTTTTCCGCAGCTTTCCAGATTTTTGGCGACCTGTTAAAATGGCCAACTGTAGTCAGTGCATAGGAGAAGCTATTTAAAATAGCATCTAAAAGCGAAAAACTTACTCCTTCTAGTAAAAATATAATGAAGTAAATCCGTATAGATAGCGCAAAGTTATAATCTTTTAAAAATGATTGATAGAACTTTCAAGACAACCTAATAATTAGCCACTTCGACTTTGCGACCCTCCTTTGTCAGCAGGAACATGCCGATGCTTTGCACAATATACAGGTTTGGACCTGCTGAATGCACACGTGACGGTGTCAAGGTCTGTTTCATTCGCAGAGTCCCTTATGCAGAGAGCTACGATTTCGCGGCGCAAAGGCCTCGCATACCGTTCTTCAGCGATGAGGTCAATAAAAGGATAAAACCAAAGTAAATCTATCTTCCGATTCCCTTTCACTATGCTGAAATTAGATTGAGGTACGACTTCCCCGAATCTCACCAACAGTGCTGTAGGGCCGTAGAAGATAGAAATAAGAAAGACGAACTACCTCAAATATTCTTTGGGACTTGTAGTTGTATATGAATAGAATAATGTCATCTCAACTTGAGTGATTCAACCGAGTAAGTGCTCAAAAGGCAGCGTGTCGGTGCGGGATGTGCAGCTGATGAAAAAGGGACACTACGATAAAGACAAACTGTACTGTGCAATGGGTCATCCAAGAAAATTCTTCGAATATATTTGCTTATGACCGGAACTCAAAAACTACAAATATTCAAATGCGAGAAATATTGAAAGTTTTATCAATAATCATATTTGAAAATTTGCTGCGTAATTCGACTAGACGTCTCATAGCATTTCGGTTCAACCAATCACTCAATTTCGAATAATTTTTATTTAAATGTTATTTTTAAAATTATCCTACATTCGATCCAGCAAGTGTTTTGTACATGCACACGGATGCTCGTCATTAAACAAACCTTTGTCTCTCACAAAGATGACGCAAAGAACCGTTCGCTGATCGAACACCCTTACTATTGAGTTTCAGTAATTAGAAAAAGTGGCTAACAACTAAATGAGTATTGAATTTCTGCAAAGGCTTTCGCTTTCAATTTATAAAAGTGACTAAGCTATATTAAAGAGGTTTGTCGCATCTTTATTGCCTCAACATTGTGTTTATAACTTCCATGTTTCCTCCTTTCTTAACCTCGGCATAGTTAGTTGTATTGTGGTGAGTAGTTAGTATGCCAGCACGAGGTTAGTAGATTTATTGTTAGTAGTGGCGGCCTAACGTTTCGACGATTTCGTCTTCTTCAGAGGCCTAAAGTGGTAGGAGATTTAGATCTTATGCTCTACCCCACCACAAACCTCCTCCACCCCTGGCCAGCCTCGATTCCACCCCCGAATGTTACAAAGAAAAATACGCAAGTACGCAAAAGACGAACTGACCTCCTCTGCCGCTGCCGCCCAGGTGGATGTTGAATGCGGCCGTCCTCGAGTGCCACTAGTATGGAATTGTATACCATATTGATATTAATCAGTGGCATTCTTCAACTCACATAATGCCATAAAAGGCATAAAGTCATTCGTGATTGACGCGCACTCATTTCGGTTGTTCATGCATGGATTTGTTGCAAAAATCCAGAATGCCTCGAGAGCTTTTCTACTAGCAGTATCAGACTCGTATGCCAGTATAGTGCACGTAATTTCGAAGTCTTTACCACAATGGAATTCAACCCTATGTTTACCAAGCGGTGCGGTAAGACTTCCCCGTCTTTTGCTGGCAAGATGTTCTTTTATTCTTACCCAAAGCGGTCTCCCAGTCTCTCCGATATAAGTGGCGCTGCACTCGACACATTCAATCTCATATATAACACCCGTTTTACCGCAGTCACCAACTTTACCGGATGGACAAAGTACGCAGTCTTGGACTCTGCAGTAGTTGTCGTATAATCTGTTACGAACTAGCCGCTTTCTGATGTTATCACTAGGAATATCAACTAAAATGACATCGTCTTTCAAGTTCGCACGATCAATGCATCGCCGCACTGCAGCACTAGTCTCGTCAGAAACGAAAGGAAGGCAGAGAGGTACTTTCTGTTGGTGCTGATTGCTATGAGTGGAAATGGATGGTCTTCTGCGTCCTTTTTGGGGCGCGTAACCATTCATTCGAGCAATCTCCAGTGCCCTACTTTGTGATTCCTTATGTTCTTCTTCTCCTGTGCATACGTTCGTTGCCGTTTTGAGCATGTTACGAATGACAGCTCTTTTAACAGCGATCGGATGTGCAGAACGAGCATTGATCAAGATATTCTTGGAACTCTCTTTA